GTCAGGTTCACTGTCAGCTCCCATCAACATGTCCTCCAAAGCTTGTACTTTTCAATGACATTCTCAATGTTCATTATTATCATGACTACTGAGCAGAATATGAAGAAAATATGTTAGAGACGTGAAAAACAAAAAGGCAGTTCAGAGACCTTTGGAGAAAATTGTCAGGGAGTATAGCCGTGTTTTACAGGTTAGCTCCAATCTAAACAATATCCCAAGGTCTTACCCAAGCCCATTCTCTGCTTCCATTTCCAGTATTTTCAAACTCAGCTACCTCGCTGATAACAAACCTAAGAGACAGTTAGCCACTATCCTTTTCTGGCACAGGACACTGGGGCTCCAATGGACTTAGCTTCTTGCCCAAGATTGCAGAAACTTTTCGCTTTTCTGATTCTCAATAGTCCTTTCCATTCTGCCATCATGTCAAGTCTTCTGTTGGCAACTCAGCACTGCTTCCGCTGTTACGTGCTCCCCCTTACATCCTAAAGACAGGAAGCCTGAGGTGTACGTTCCCACAGATCTCGGCCAGCAGTTTTCAGTGTAAGAACCCACTAAATACTCAAGATACACGTCTTTCAGATATCACATTAGTGAAGCTGTCTTATCGTGTCCTACTGGGTGGCACATGATCTTTATTTGCCGAATTACTGATGATAATACTGATCATTTGAGTAAGATGGTGCCTGCTCGGTTTCTCCACTGTAAAGTTCCTTTTCTTCTTTGTAATTAGTAAGTATTGGTGTGGAAATATCTGGAGATTGTGTAAATATCCTGTTCCCTATATGTCCCGTGGCTGAATAACTTGAATGTTTGCCAAATGCCAATTTTTTATTTTCATTTTTCCTCCTACATTTATTCACAGGCATTCTACTGGAAGTAAAAGCTTTACCTTATCTGTGTGGAATCATGGATTCATATTTTATTCAATGGATTATAATCTATTGCTATCTTTTTTAAAAAAAATCCAAAATCATGGGATTTGGATGAAAGTAACTGGGATTACTGGGCATCCTGTATTTCTGCAACTTCCCGACTCCATGAAAGCAAGTAGAAAAACCAAGAGCCAGCAACAGCCTTCCCTGACCTTTGTTTGCCCAACACCTCCAAATGTCTTTTAAGCACCTAAATCCTTCTATTAATTCCCTTCCTGTCAGCATGCCTAGAATAGTTTCTATTTTTCTCATCAATCCCTCACTAAGACAAACATAAGGACAGCCTTTCACTCCTGTCCTTGAGCAGCCATTCTATCCTAGACATCACTCTCTATAAAAGCACCCATATTTATAAATATTTATTTATTTGTCAGCTTCTCCTTTATAAACTAAATTATTTCATGGTAGAGGTCATAACATAAATTTTGTTATCACTATTCCTAGCACATAGAAGATGCTTGATAACTAGCAGTTGACTGAATGGACCAAGCTCATACTACTTAGAAAAGAAATATTTCATTACTAAATACCACTTACCTATTTCCAGGATTGGTTCCTTTCAAGAAATGCACACGCAGAATGGGATCACTGAGATAAGAATGGTCCTAAGCACTGAAACTCCAGTGAAGAGATTGAAGGATAGAGTAGGGGTATATGAGGAATTAAAGGAAAATTTCTCTTGTCTGAAAGCTACTGGAACAACCAGAGATACAACATCCCTAGGTCAAGGGAATGGCTTCTGTTGCTATTCTTTAAAGTTGGCTTTAAGTATATTAAGGGATCCTAATGATTTTATTGAATGTCCTTTTATATATCCATAGCCCAGGTCATATCCTACATCTGTTTTTCTTTCTCTCATAACTGTGTGTGTGTTGTTTTGTTTGTTTGGTTTTTTTGTTTGTTTGTTTCTTTGTTTTTGCAGTACACGGGCCTCTCACTGTTGTGGCCTCTCCCGTTGCGGAGCAACAGGCTCCGGACGCACAGGCTCAGCGGCCATGGCTCACGGGCCTAGCCACTCCGCGGCATGTGGGATCTTCCCGGACCGGGGCACGAACCCATGTCCCCTGCATCGGCAGGCGGACTCTCAACCACTGCGCCACCAGGGAAGCCCTGTGTGTGTTTTTTTTAACAGATGTTTCATGATTCTTCCTGACTCACATCTGAACCCAATGGTTTATACTCTTATTGAAGGACAATAATCTCAGATATTCACGTATGTATTTTGTTACAGGTATATAACTGAAATGTCTTTCCTTTACCATTCTGCCACACTTTATCCCAAATAGACCATTCTATACTCATATACTCAGAGAAGAAATATAACAGGAAAACAGTTTCTGATCACCATGGACTTTGTTTCAAAAGGTCAGATGAAAGAAAATTGTGGGGTGGGAAAAAGGTAATAGCAGTGTGGCACATCTAGGCAGGAGGCACCACTAAAGCCTCACCAGTTTGTGTGTTCAAAGTCAAGAGTTTGAGCCTAAAAGGCCATGCTTACTAGGGGCTCATCATACCATGATTGCCTATGTGGACACATAACTTGATGAACAGAGGAAGTCTCCCACCAAAAGCTGGGTGGATAATCTGTTAGATTCTAGAGCCTTAGCACATCCTGAAACAATTAAATTTCACTTCCCTACAGACTAATGGAATGGGCTTTTGAGCCAGAAATAAAATCAACTTACAGCAATAAAATGTTACATTTAACACACCCTGAATTTGTAGATTGAGAATCACACCTGCTACAAAATCAAGAACTCAGGCTGTTACTTAAAGAGATGCTCTATATCATAATTCTCAGTCCAAAACTACCAGATTTGGGGCTTTGCAACCATTCCACTCAGTTGGAAACAAAGAATGGCTTAATCCATGACTGGCTGCAGCTTGACCAGCACTAGAAGGAAATAACCAACAGGTGGAGCAACAGAGGGTCTCTTGGTTTAAATGGAAGAAATAACAACACAAGTCCAAATTATCATAGAAGAAAAAGAATCAAGTAAAACTTTGGCAATCAGTTAGTCAATGAACTTCCAAATTCAAAATAAGGATTTACAGGCTATTTATGAATATAATACCTGTCATTAAAACAATGATTATTAATGCTGAGCCCTGTTGTAAATGATTTAACCCACATAATCATGACCACAAGCCTACAAAGTAGGTTATATTAGTCCCATTTTACAGACAAAGATATCGAGATACATAAGGATTATGTGACTCACCCAAGGTCGTGATGATGGTGAGTAGCAGCTCTGACTTGAACCCAGTCATTCTAGCTCAGAGTCCAACTTGACCACCATGCAATGCTGTCTTTGCCCACAAAAGCTCAACTATTTTGAATGGGATAACCCCAAAGGAAGAGGTTATCAAGTCCACTCCCTTTATTTTAAAGATGACGAAACAGTACCAAAGAGGATTAAGACATTTGCTCAGTGTCCTATGGCTCGATATATCACTCATCTTTGTTTTATGACAAATAATACTCATTGTCAATCAAATTAATCATTTTGCTTTTAACGTTTCCCAAAGGGCAAATCAAAAGTTTAAAACCCAGACTTTTACAACCTTCCAGGAATTGTACCTCAGCTTCTCTAGAGCTGATATGAGACGTGAGGGACAGGAGGCCAAGTAGTCTCAGAGGCCAGGTAAAGCACCCTGATGGATCATCTCCAGGTGGCAGGAAGCAAAATGGTACCAAGAAGCCACTTAACAGTGGAGCAGGCAAAGAGCTCAGAAAGAGGAAACCCAGGGACTTTACTGTGGTCATTCAAGAATCAGGAAATTTGATTCTGAGCAATTTTTTCCTCTACTCTTATTGAAATACCTAGAATTAGAAACCTCTACTTTGGAAATATGATCTTTGTGCTGTTCTATTTAGGTTCCATCAATTTCAAAATAATATTCCTATGGAAAATACTTCATGCTCCCAAAAGCAATGAAATCACTGTGATTTTCCCTTGTCCTTTAGTAAAGGCTAGCATGTAACTGTACCATCTCCTTGGCAGGTCCAAAGTCCCCATGACAAAGCATGATTAAAATAAATAAGGCCCACTTCTGTCTCCTGAAGAAGAATGATCTAATTGTGGGCAGATTTTTAAAAAATCCATCATGGAGGTAAGATGTTGCAGTAAGAAATCTGTTTTATTTAGCTCACTGGGCATTCAGAGACCTTGCGTCCTAATCCCCTTCACCTTGGTTGTGTTGACATGTCCTGTCATTGATAAACTCAGACCTGCATTATAACAACCGCTGAAAGCTGAATCAGACGATATTAGAAAAAAATGTCACTCACTGGCTTCTAACCTTTTCAACCCTTATTTCTATTTCCATCCTAGGAATAGTCTCACTGCTTGTACAAAAAAAAGATGATGATAAATAAGAGGAATCTGTCCACTTATAAAGACATGCTTAAGAGTGAAAACAGAGGTAAGCAAGTATTGAACTTTTGTTGAGAAGGCTGCTGACAAAGCCCCCAAAACAAGGTCATTTAAGAAAGACTTCAGTTGAGGAACTGTGCCTGAGCAGGAAGAAAATAAAATGAAAATCCTTGGTACCAGAACCCTACATTGTTTTAAGTTAAGAGAGAAAATGTGCTGTATACATGGAATGTATCTCTAGTGTGATTATAAGGGTCCTCTTTATTAAATCAGAAAAGAAATAACAGATTTGAAAATTAAAGTAAAAGGCCCAGAGAGAAGAAACACATGTTTAAGTTTTTAGACATCTACTTGAAGTTGAATGCTCTCTAACACATTCATTAAATTTCAATTAAATTGAATTTGGCATGGAAAATAAACTAATAAAATGGTTAGTGTTGTCCAAAAAGACACTAAAAGAGAGGCATGAATTCATGATCAACCTAATCAGATTACATCTCTTTTCACTTTCCCTTTGAAGGAGCCTGGCTCTGGGGACCTTACACAACCAGGCAGACAACTAACCTTGACGTGCTTTCAGACAATCTATGGAACAAAGCATAGAGTACATGAGAGGCAGTGAGCAGCTCACTCCTGGCCCTTAAGGTTTTCCAGTACCTACCACCCTGGCATATGATGATGTGGGACTTACCGCATTAAAATTGGGGAAGAGGTTGACTGCGGCCGCAGTGTCAAGAGGAAAGGGAAGAAACGGTTTAATATCCAGCGATGGTTGCAAAGGAGGGGCTGGTGGACGGACCAGGGCTGGGAGAGCGGGGCTCTGGCATGTACCACCTGCACAGAGGAGAACAAAGGGAGCGATCAGGGACATGGTGCATATTAAACACACAACACACAAACACCAAGGTCTCTTTTGAGACCAAAAGGCCAGCTTTATGGGTCACTGGAAAAAACAAGACATGGAGTGTATTGACCTCAACTGGGAACCGGCCAACGAGCAGATGTGCCATTAAGCAGAGAAAACCAGTTGAGCCGCTCCTTTTTCCCTCTTGGATTAAAACTATCTGGTTACATAAGGAATTGTTAACATTTCAAACATTTCATACTCCCCAATCCATCCTTCTTTTCCTGCCTACAACCCGGGACTGAGTCAGCTACAAATCTATAAGCAACATCCCTTGATTCAAAGGGAAAACCCCTCCAATGCTCCCCCATCCCTCTTTGAAAACTAACTCCTGCTCAAAATATACATGCAGTCTGAGGGATTCTTTTACAGAACTGCTCTTTTCCACCGCATCCAAAACTCTGGCAGCAAGATGACACGAACCTGGCACAGAAAAGAAACTTAACGCAAATGCAGGCAGCTGTACCTTACTTCCCTGGCAACTGGAGGGTTAAAACCAGCAAATCCAGCTACATATCATGTGATCCCTGAGCTATTTAGCACCCCTGTGGCTTTAAACATTCAAGACTAGCTGCCCCCTTCCTTCCCAGTCATAAGTAGGTGGAATTTAGAAGGTCACCAATGAGCAGGCAATGGAATATTATGGCAACACAGACAGCTCCCTTGCATACCAGTGGGCAAAGGCTGTTTGCAAGGGACTCCTACCTCTGCCCCCTGTTCTAGGATTCCACTGCATTCAGAAGCTGAAAGGAGCCCATCTCCCAGTTATGTCTCTCATACTTTGGTAACATTCCAAAGCATCAATTGGCTGTTAATTAAAGGCTGTTTGAATCCTAGGAAACTGTTAAAATATGCCAGCATTCTTCTAATCTGAGAGGCAAGCAATGGACTGTAAAAACCTGCTGGTGAGAATCCAAGAAGCATGAGGAAAACAAAATGCACTAGAATTATTCCTTTCTCATGGAAAAGAATTCCAGGAGACAGAAAAGAGAAGATGGTAGAGTAGGAGGATGTGAAGTTTGCATCTCCTGACAACTAGGGCACCTACCAGGTTCTGGTGCAGGACCTCAGACACCTAAGGGGACAAGGGGAACCCCCGAGTGAGTGGGTAGGATGTGGAGTGAAGTGAGAGGGGAGGAGAAGTAGAGGCGGGAGGGGACCAATACACCTAAGGGGCCGTTGGGGGAGGGGAGGGGCCCACTGACTACGAGGGGATCAGGGGGACATGGAGAGATGTTCGGGGGATCAGAGGATCAGAAGGGAACATGGCCAGCATCTCCTCTGCCCACTCGGGTCCTGGACTAAACCTCTGCACACCAAGGCCCCCTCCAGCTGTGTGGTGCTGAGCCTAAGCCCTGCCCCCCACACCCCTAGGGCCTTTTCTGGCTGCTTGGGTCCTAAGCCTAGGTCTGCCCCCCACCTAAGCCCTGCCACCCCGCCTAAGCCCCACCCCACCTAAGCCCCACCCTGCCTAGGCCCTGCCCCCACCTAAACTCCACTTCCCACATCTACGGCCTTTTCCGGCCTCTTTTTTGTTGTTTTTTTCTTGCTATTGTGGTTCTCTTTTACCTTGTTGTTGTTTCATTTATACGTTTATTTTTTATAACATATTTTTTATTTTTCTAATTTTATTTTACTTTTATTCTTTGTTATTGTTCTATTCCTTTTTTTCTTTGGCTGTGCCACCTGGCTTGTGTGATCTTGGTTCCCAGGCCGGGGGTTTGGCCCGAGCTCCTGTGGTGGGAGCTCTGAGTCCAAACCGCTGGACTAACAGAGAACCTCAGACCCCAGGGAATATTAATCGGAGTGAGACCTCCCAGAGGTCCTCATCTCAGCAACAAGATCCAGCTCTACCCACCTGCCTGCAAACTCCAATGCTGGAAGACTCAGGCCAAACAACCAGCAAGACAGGAACACAGCCCCACCCATCAAAAAAAAAAAATGAGATGGCAAAAAAATATATTACAGACAAAGGAACAAGGTAAAAACCTACAAGACCAAATAAGTGAAGAGGAAATAGGCAACCTACCTGAAAAAGAATTCAGAGTAATGATAGTAAGGATGATACAAAATCTCAGAAACAGAATGGAGAAAATAAAAGAAATTTTTAACAAGGACCTAGAATTTAAGAACAAGCAAACAGTGATGAACAACACAATAATTGAAATTAAAAATACTCTAGAAGGAATCAATAGCAGAATAACTGAGGCAGAAGAACGGTAAAGTGACCTGGAAGATAAAATGGTGGAAATAACTGCCGTGGAGCGGAATAAAGAAAAAAGAATGAAAAGAATTGAGGACAGTCTCAGAGACCTCTGGGACTGCATTAAATGCACCAACATTCGAATTATAGGGGTGCCAGAAGAATAAGAGAAAGAGAAAGTGTCTGAGAAAATATTTGAAGAGATTATAGTCGAAGACTTCCCTAACATGGGAAAGGAAACAGCCACCCAAGTCCAGGAAGCGCAGAGAGTCCCATACAGGATAAACCTTAGTAGAAACACTCCAGGTCACATATTACTCAAACTAACAAAAATTAAATTCAAAGGAAAAATATTAAAAGCAGCAAGGGAAAAGCAACAAATAATATAGAAGGGAATTCCCATAAGGTTTTCAGATGACTTTTCAGCAGAAACTCTGCAGGTCAGAAGGCAGTGGCAGGATATATTTAAAGTGATGAAAGGGGAAAACCTACAACCAAGATTACTCTACCCAGCAGGATCTCATTAAGATTCAATGGAGAAATCAAAAGCATCACAGACAAGCAAAAGCTAAGAGAATTCAGCACCACCAAACCAGCTTTACAACAAATGCTAAAGGAACTTCTCTAGGTGGGAAATACAAGAGAAGAAAAAGACCCACAGAAACAAACCCAAAACAATTAAGAAAATGGTAATAGGAACACACACATCGATAATTGCCTTGAATGTAAATGGATTAAATGCTCCAACCAAAACACATAGACTGGCTGAATGCATATAAAAACAAGACCTGTATATATGCTGCCCACAAAAGACACACTTCAGACCTAGGGACACATGCAGACGGAAGGTGAGGGGATGGAAAAAGATATTCCATGCAAATGGAAATCAAAAGAAAGCTGGAGTTGCAATTCTCATATCAGACAAAATAGACTTTAAAATAAAGACTATTACAAGAGACAAGGAACAACATTACATAATGGTCAAGGGATCAATCCAAGAGGAAGATATAAGAATTGTAAATATTTATGCACCCAACAAAGGAGCACCTCAATACATAAGGCAAATGCTAAAAGTCATAAAAGGGAAAATTGACAGTAACACAATAATAGTGGGGGACTTTAACACTCCACTTACACCAATGGGCAGACCATCCCGACAGAAAATAAATAAGGAAACACAAGCTTTAAATTACACAACAGACCAAACACACTTAACTGATATTTATAAGACATTCCACCAGAAAATGGCAGAAAACACTTTCTTCTCAAGTGCACATGGAACATTCTCCAGGATAGATCACATCTTGGGTCACAAATCAAGCCTTGGAAAATTTAAGAAAATTGAAATCATATCGAGCATCATTTCCGACCACAATGCTATGAGATTAGAAATCAATTATAGGAAAAAAACTATAAAAAGCACAAACCCACGGAGGCTAAACAGTGCACTGCTAAATAACCAAGAGATCACTGAAGAAATCAAAGAAGAAATTTTAAAAAACCTAGAAACAAATGCCAATGAAAACACAATAACCCAAAACCTATGGGATGCAGCAAAAGTAGTTCTAAGATGGAAGTTTATAGCAATTCAGTCTCACATCAAGAACAAGAAAAATCTCAAATAAACAATCTAACCTTACACCTAAGGGAACTAGAGAAAGAAGAAGAAGAACAACAACAAAAAAAACCCAAAGTTAGTTATTAGGAAAGAAATCATAAAGATCAGAGCAGAAATAACTGACATAGAAATGAAGACAACAAAAGCAAAGATGAATAAAACTAAAAGTTGATGCTTTGAAAAGATAAACAAAATTGATAAACCTTTAGCCAGATTCATCAAGAAAAAAAGGGAGAGGACTGAAATCAATAAAATTAAAAATGAAAAAGGAGAAAAGGAGAAATTACAACTGACACCGCAAAAATACAAAGGATCATAAGAGACTACTACAAGCAACTATATGCCAATAAAATGGACAACCTGGAAGAAATGGACAAATTCTTGGAAAGGTACAACTTTCCAAGACTGAACCAGGAATAATTAGAAACTATAAACAGAAAAATCACAAGTAATGAAATTGAAACTCTAATTAAAAATTTTCCAACAAACAAAAGTACAAGAGCAGATGGCTTCACAGGCGAATTCTATCAAACATTTAGAGAAGAGCTAACACCTATCCTTCTCAAACTCTTCCAAAAAATTGCAGAGGAAGGAACACCCCCAACCTCATTCTATGAGGCCACCATCATCCTGATACCAAAACCAGACAAAGATACCACAAAAAAGAGAAAATTATAGACCAATATAACTGATGAACATAAACGCAAAAATTCTCAACAAAATACTAACAAACAGAATCCAACAGCACATTAAAAGGATCATGTACCATGGGATTTATCCCAGGAATGCAAGGATTCTTCAATATACACAAATCAATCAATGTGATACACCAATATTAACAAATTAAAGAATAAAAAACATCATCTCAATAGATGCAGAAAAAAGTTTTGACAAAATTCAACACCCAGTTATGATAAAAACTCTCCAGAAAGTGGGCATAGAGGGAATCTACCTCAATATAATAAAGGCCATATACAACAGACACACAGCAAACATTATTCTCAATATTATTCTCAATGGTGAAAAACAGAAAGCATTTCCTTTAAGATCAGGAACAAGACAAGGAGGTCCACTCTCACCACTACTATTCAACAAAGTATTGGGAAGTC